CCCCACCACCCCCCACCCCCCCAAAAAAACCTTTAAATTCTCAATTAAATGTTTATTTTCAGATCTAAAGACCCTATCTGAGTCTGTGTGGTCTCAGGGTCTAAACAAATTGGATTAAATGTGCACGTGCTGAGAAGTCTGTGAACTTTATTGACAATTACAAGATATTTTGGGAGTGCTAACATCTCTTTAAGGCAAATGGACTGAGGCTTCATCAGTGAGGAGCAAAGCTGCTAGCTACCAACATATTTTACTACGTGAAAGTCAGTCTGTGTCTTTTGGGTTGTTTTTATTTGTTAATCTGTGTTTTTGTTGTTTTATTATCTGATGTTTCATTTCCTCAATGTTTCCTATGTTGTTATTTATCAGCTCAGCTGCAAATTATTTCTCATTAGCCGTTTATTACCATTCTCTTTTCTCCACCTCCTTGCTGGATCGTTGTCACTTTCCCGGAGTTGCCCTCCGTGTCACCACCTAACTGTAAGTTCATGTTCCTGTGGCTACCTCCCTGTCTTGTGCTGAATGCGTCCCRGACCACCTACCTGAAGTTTTGACCCACTGTGGCTGGGCCGCGGGCCACCCACTCAAACTTTGTCCCTGCCAGTCCAAACCTGTGTTCTGCCGTGGTCAGGGCACAGGTCGCCTGCCCAAACTTTCACCCTGCAACAAACACTCCGGGCCATCTTTAGAGACTTGTTGGTTTATTTCCCAGGTTGCTCTGGTCGGGTTTTGGATTTTGACATTTGTGTTTTTCTGTGTATCCTCCATCCTGTCTGTGCCCCACCACCCACCATAGTTAGGTTTCTTTGGTGTTTTGTTTCACTCACTCCATCTTGTTTTCTGCCCGCTCCTTTCACCCAATTTAAACATAATTTTGGACATCATGGGTCGTCCTTGAGGCAGGGGTACTGTCATAGTCTGTGTTTTTTGGGTTGTCTTTTATTTGGTTCTCTGATGCTTCAGTTCCTCAGTGTTTCCTGTGTTATTTCACATTCAATCAGCTCAGCTGCACATCAGTTCTCTTTAACCCTAGCTCTACACAGTATTACCGGTCTCTTTTCTCCACCTCCTTGTTGGATAATTGGCCCAATTTTGCCCTTCTGACAATCTTAAGGATGCTCAGATTATAGTGATGACTCTAAATATAATCTTAGCAGATATTCCTGCCGTGGTGAGTTAAGAGTGATCTTGTCGGCTCGGAAGGACGTCAGGAAAGCTCCGGCCTCAAATCGGGGATAATCAACATGTTTGATTTTTTTGACCGATACCACAGAGTGTGTGGTGTTCGCAGCCTGTTGAATGTGACGTGTAGCCAGTCAGAAAGCAAGGTAACGTAAACATGGAGGGGATTCCAAAATATAGAGGATGTAAAAAACAGTCATGACTCACCAGAAAATCCGCTGGATGTTGTAAAAGTTGTTTTGAATTATTTTTTCTCTGTTAAAAATACTCCACAAACGATCAGCATTGTTTCTTCCTCATCTGAAATGTTTATTTACTCTGAACACACGTCTGATCTCTGGAGGTCAAGCAAGACTTTTCCTCTGACATCTAAATTCCCGCGAGGTTTTATGTCTGATGTCTGAATATTTATGAATGAAATATGCCCATGTATGGAGTGTTGTCTCTTTCCATGTGGCTGTACATTACACACCAAACCTGGGACCAAACCTGGTATATCAATGGTTTTCTATCCTCATGCGTTGAGTCTCTCAGACTTTGAAAATTGTCCGACTGTTTTAAAATCTTGCGGGGTGACCCAGCCTCAAGTGTTCTGCATCATCAGCTTTTTGTTTTGTTCAATAAAGTGTTTTATTTTCCTTTTACCTCAAATCCTCCTGTGACATTTGCCGCCTGGGTTTGATCCACCGTGCACTCTGACAGTGAATCAGATGCTACAAGCTTGTGCCACAGATAGAAGACAGGAAAATGCACATCGCATAAGGCAGCAATCTGGAGGTCAACTAGTTTGTTGGCAAAATGAGGGAACACAGAGTACAGATGACCCAGAATGAGACTTCTGCAGAACCACAACCAGTGGAATCCCCGAGCCTCCAACTGGAGAACTGGACCCTTCCTTAGCCTAAGCAGGGGACCCTACCACTCAACTGAGAATAGGAACGTAAAACCTACTCCCAGAAGAAGAAGACAGTTCACAGACTACATTGAGGACCCTAAAGAAAAAGAAGAGTAAGGTTTGGAAATGTTCACAAATCTGCAGCAACACTGGGTGGAAGATAAAGATATGGACCAAGGAGGAGATACAAAATTGGAAAAAAGAAATTATGGAAACATACTGAAAACTTTGACTTCTGGGTGGAATAAAAATTGAAACATTGAGGTTGGGATTTTAGAAATATCCTGTTGTGATGCAAAGATGATACTTATATATAGAGTATTTTTTCATTATTATTATTTACATATACTGCAGTTCTGTGTTGACACAATTTTTGTTGTGTCAAGAGAGGCTCTTAAAGGATATTTTGTGACAGATAAACTGAATTTTATGCACAGTCATATATATTATGCTTTGATCTTTAAACAGTTAGAGAATCAACAAGTCTCTATGTGCCTCGCTCCAGCAATGTAAAGATAATATTTAGTATTTCAGGCACCAGTGCTGATGTAAGGAACCTGCCCCAGGGGGCGTGACTCGGGTTTTGATAAGTATTATCAAGAGATCATGTGATTTGGGGACATTTTGTTTAGACTGCAAAGCACAGTCAGGCTTTGAGATAAAATGGAGTCTTTAGATGTGGAAAGAAACATTTAACTGAGAACTTAATCAGGTTTCAGCATTTTTGTTCCATGCTTCCAATTTGACCATTTCTTACATGACGATAAGGCACACTTTTGGACAAAATAATACCAGCAGAAATATGTATATTTTATACATTTCTGAGAACTGGAGAACACAGAGATTTAGAGTCAGTACTCACCTTATTCTTTGTCATTGCACCAACTATAAGAGGACAAACCATGCCCGACAAAGTACCCACACCGTTGGAGATACCCATGAGGATGCTAGCATACCGAGGTGCAATGTCCAGGTGGTTCACGTTGAAACCTTTTGAGAATTAAAGAATCGATTGTCAGGATCAAGGTAAAGCCTGAAAACTGTTGAAGTTTTATTGTAAAAAAAAACATGCTGCATTTCACCTGAAATGGCAAAACCAGAGAAACCCACAGCCAGAACCAGAAACGTGATGGCAACACCTTTTGTATGTGAGAATCCAACTACCAACAGGAGAGTCGCCTCCATCCCAAACCCTGGTACAAATAAAGGCACACAGTTAAAAACAAAAAATGATTTCAACCGGTCAAGTTTCATTTTCAACTGAAAAAACTACTTTATTTGTTCAGTTTAAAAGGATTTTAAGTAAAAAGTTGACTGTGCAGTTGTTTCAGGTCGCTATGATACACGAGCTGCTTCTTCATCTCACTTGAGTTTTATTATCATTCTGTAGTTCAAAAATAGCAGAAAGTCTCAGCGCTTCTGCTTCACACTTAGTCATATGTGCCTCATCTGTGGTGTTTTCAACAGCAACAACCACAAGCAGCTAACGCCATCATTAAGTAGATTCATAAGACTGAGCCGTCTAACTGAAAGGCACATGTTTAATAAAACAGACTAATAAAGTAAAAAAAAATCTCTCAGGACACTTTACACTTTTATAAATAGATGAAAACGGCTATTAAACTTCCCATTTAAGAAAGAAAGATTGTTACCACTTCTTTCAGCTGGTTGTAAAGAAAAAACATATTAAAATCTAGAAATGCAATTTTCTATTAAACTCTGCAATGATCTTCCAAATGTTTGACTTTATGGAAATAAATCACCATAATTTATGGCCCCTGCAAGCCTGCTCCAAATGCATGAAATTGTGCATGCTTGAATTTAGAAAAATTAAGATTTTGTTTCATACTTACCTCCACAATTCATAAGTTTTCTAACATTGGTGGTAGTCATAATCTGGTTGGAGCGTAAAAAGTCAGCGATTTGGCCCCCAATGGGCACGATGATGGTCATAACCAGATGGGGCAGAGCTGAAAGTATGCCCACCTAGATGTGTGTGAGAGAGAAGATCTGTCATTACCAGTACAAACGAGGAGAGGCTGTGTCAGTGACTAACTTCATTTTAAAGTTACCTTGCTGATCTCAAACCCAAACACCTCCTCAAAGTACGCCGGCTGGCTGATGAGAAGCAGGTAGAATGTCCAGCTTCTGCAGAAGTTGGCAACAATAATGGCGTAGACAGGCATGGAGGTGAAGAAGGCCCTCCATGGCGTGTTAAATTTCTGCAACACAAAAATAGTTCAAGAACTGTATGCATTTACACTATTTACTGTTTTGTACTTTTTTTGCCTGAACAACTAATATTTTGTGATTTTTGTGGAAGTGGCTTTTGTAAAGTGTCTACTTTTTAAAGTATTTAACTTGATTAACAAATGTTTGCTTCAGTTCTTTCCAAAAGATTGTAACAGCATTTTGTTACTTTGGCTTCTAGTTTACTATTTGACATTGTTGCTAACGCTTTGCTAGTTTTAGTTACCTTTTTGCTACTTTTAGCTAGTGTTTTTTTTAATCTATAACTAGCTAGTGTGTGAATAGGTAAATGTCTTTAAGTGTAAAGCACTTTGGAGATGAACAGGACTTGATAAAGCGCTACATAAGTTCAGTCTAAAATTGCTTTTTTAAGCTTTTAGCTAGTCATTTGCTGCATTATGACTTCTCACTACCATTTTACTTTCAGATTTTTTGTTAGCTTTTTTACCATTTTTATCAAGCATTTGGCTTTTATCTTGCCTTTTGTTATTTTTAACTAAGGTTTTGCTACTTTCGTTTTAGCTAGCATTCTGTTTATGTTAGCTTTTAGCTATTTTTGTTACTAGTTAGTGCAACGTCAGTCAGCACTCTGTAGACTTCATAATAAAAGGAAATGCAATTTCTCTACTTTTGTATTGATTTTTTTGCAAAAAATTTGATTTTCCCAGTTTTTATGATTAAAATCTTTTTTCTTTTTTTTTTTTTTTTGGATTTTTATGTCAACAAATTATCATCAGAAACTAAAACTGATGTGAAAGAAGGCACAGGGCATCAACACTGTTGCTGGGCTGCTAACAGGAACTACTGATTAATTTAAGCTCTGTCATGTTTCTAAATCTGTCAAGGTGTGGCCAACTGTTTTGTTTTATTTGACTCATCGTGTCCTTCTGCACAACCTCTACATTCTTTATTCAAATCTACATTTGACAAAATCTTTAACCGTTTAAAAGACATCAGCCACAACACCAGCATTATGAGCTTTTGCAGTATTTCCATATTTGCTTTCTGTACATCATCGAGTGTTTTACGATTCATCACCTGATTTTTTTTAAAACCAAATCCTACTCCATCTACACTGACCGATATTGAGTGTTGGGCCGACTCGCCGATGCTCTCCTCAATATATTTTCTCTCCTCCTCAGTGATGGTGGGGTGGGCCGCCGGACTCTCGTAAGAAACCAGGATCCAGAAGCAGTACCAGAGGACACCAAAACTTCCTGGTGTTAAAAGAAAAAAGCTGCAATTGAGTTCAAACTAAAGGAAACGGCAAAAAGAAATAATGCCACTTTTTTCATATGAACTATACAGTATACAGAGGGTAAAATAAGTATTGAACGTCACCATTTTTCTCAGTAAATATATTACTAGAGGTGCTAATGACATGAAATTTTCACCAGATGTCGGTAACAACCCAAGTGATCCATACATACAAAGAAATCAAACATAAATGTCCAGAGATGAAGTTATTTGTAATAATGTGAAATGGCACAGGGAAAAAGTATTGAACACATGAAGAAAGGGAGGTGTAAAAAGGTATGGAAAGACAAGACACCAGCTGAACTCTCTCAGTAATTAGAAAGCAAGCCTGCCCCTTGTCAGTGCAAGTTAATCTCAGCTGGTTCAGTCCCAAATGATGGCCAGGTATCACACAAGAACCATCTGATGATGGGTAAAAGTAAAGAGCTCTCTCAAGACCTTCACAACCTTRTTGTTGCAAAGCATAATGATGGCATCGGTTACAGAAGAATGTCTAAACTTCTGAAGGTTCCAGTGAGCACTGTTGGGGCCATAATTCAGAAGTGGAAAGAACATTATTTCACCATAAACCGACCACGACCAGGTGCTCCTCACAAGATTTCTGACAGAGGAGTGAAAAGAATTATCAGAAGAGTTGTCCAAGAGCCAAGGACCACTTGTGGAGAGCTTCAGAAAGACCTGGAATTAGCAGGTACGTTTGTTTCAAAGAAAACAATAAGTAATGCACTGAACCACCATGGCCTGTATGCACGCTCACCACGCAAGACTCCACTGCTGAAGAAACAGCATGTTGAAGCTCCTTTAAAGTTTGCTGCACAACATTTAAACAAGCCTGTGTAATACTGGGAGAATATAGTCTGGTCAGATGAGACCAACATTGAACTGTTTGGATGCCAGAATACACATCATGTTTGGAGGTCAAATGGCACTGCACATCAGCCCAAAAACACCATACCAACAGTGAAGTTTGGAGGTGGGAACATCATGGTGTGGGGCTGTTTTTCAGCATATGGTACTGGCAAACTTCAAATAATTGTAGGAAGGATGAGTGGAAAAATGTACAGAGACATTCTTGATAAAAATCTGCTTCCATCTACCAGGATGATGAAGATGAAACGTGGCTGGACATTTCAGCAAGACAATGAGCCCAAACACAAAGCCAAGGAAACTCTCAGTTGGTTTCAGAGAAAGAAACTAAAGCTGCTGGAATGGCCCAGCCAATCACCTGACCTGAATCCAACAGAAAATCTATGGAAAGAACTAAAGATCAGAGTTCAGAGAAGAGGTCCACGAAACCTTCAAGATTTAAAGACTTTGTGTGGAAGATTGGGCCAAAATCACACCTGAGCAATGCATGCCACTAGTTTCTCCATACAGGAGGCGTCTTGAAGCTGTCATTGACAACAAAGGCTTTTGTACAAAGTATTAGATAAAWTTCAGTAAGTGTGTTCAATACTTTTTCCCTGTGCCATTCCACATTATTACAAATAACTTCATTTCTGGACATTTATGSTTTGATTTCTTTGTATGTATGGATCACTTGAGTTGTTACCGACATCTGGTGAAAATTTCATGTCATTAGCACCTCTAGTAATATATTTACTGAGAAAAATGGTGACGTGTTCAATACTTATTTTACCCDCTGTATTTTTAGGGTCTCATTGTCTTTTTAGTCAGTRTTTTATCACTTGTTTTGATCATGCTTTGTCATTAGGGGGGAAAGTGAGGTACATCCTGGACAGGTTGCCAGTTTACCCCATTGCCAACACAAAAACAAATAAATTATATGTAAATAAATGGCTGTCGAGTTGTATTTTTTTATTTGCTATCATTTACAAAATGATCATTATCATCAAAGTTTGCATAATCGTCCCAAACCATAATACTACCACTGTCAAATTTTCCAGCTTATATACAGCTCTTATGTTTCAGTGCTGTTTTCTTATTTTAAAATACACTCCTGATCAAAATGTTGAGACCAGCTGAAAATGGCAAGAATTCACATTTTGCACTGTTGGGTCATGAGAAGGTTTTAATTAGAGCTTCCAAATACAAAAAGAAGAAATGGGAGTGAGACAAAAAAAAACACATCTGAGTAAACATTTTATATTTATGGATCTTTAACAACCATTTAGCTGAATTAGACTGTTTATCAGCTGATCAAAGGTTTAAGATCACAGCATGTAAAAGCACAGATCTTTGCAAAAATGGGGATTCATTGTCATTTTCTGTCAGGTAGTCACAGGGCTGTGACCTCCTGATGGCAAACACAAAAAAAGCTTTCTCTCTTTGATTGTTGACCTGCAAAAGCAAGGTCTCTCGCTGCGTGCCGTTGCTGCTGAGGTTGGACACATAAAAAYGGTCCTTTTAAACTTCTTAAAGGATCCTGAGAGTTACCGAACAAAAAAAAGTCAAGTCGTAGACCCAGAAAAGATTTCACCAGCCCTGAGCCGGAGGATCTGATTAGCCGTCTGTCAAGACATGGAATGATCCTCGGCACAAATTAAGCTCGTCACTGGTCCCTACTGCAGTCCCATGACCATCAAACGGCATCTGTGACAGAAGGGTTTKAAGAWCAGAAAACATCTTGGAAGGTCTCGTTTCCTTCAACGGCACAAAATTGCCCATTCGGAGTTTGCATGAGAGCACCAGACGTGGGCCATTGAAAGGTGGAAGAAAGTTTTATTCTCTAATGAGAAAAAATTTAACCTTGATGGTCCTGATTTTTTTCCAACATCACTGGTATGACAAGAAGATCCCACCTGAGAGGTTTTCTACACGGCACAGTGGAGGGGCCACCATCGTGATCTGGGGGGGCTTTTTCCTTCAAAGAACAATGGAGCTTCAGGTGTAGAGGCGTCACTCAGCAGCTGGCTCTGTGGAGATGTTGCAGGGGGTCTCCCTCATGGCTGAAGGCCCTCGTCTGTGTGATAATGACAGGTTTTTCAACAGGACAACGCTGCTGTTCATGATGCCCGCCTGAAGAAGACTTCTTCCAGAGAAACAACAAAACTCTTTTGGACCATCCTGTGTGTTCTCCTGATCTAAATCCAACTGAGATTGGATTTAGACTGGGGTTGGATGGCAGGGGAAGTTTACAAAAAATGGACACCAGTTCCAGACAGTGGATGTCCTCCATGAAACCATCTTCACCACTTGGAGTAACACTCCCTCTAGCCTCCTGGAAACACTAGCATCAAGCAAGCTGAAACAATTTTTTGAGGTGATTAATAAAGAATGGTGCCTTTACTCATTACTGAGTTCTTTTTATTTTATTTTATTTTTTCAAATTGCATCTTTTTTTTCCTTTTGGTGTGTAGGATGTGTGTTTGTTTTTAGATATAGTCTAAAACTTTTGATCAGATTAGGAACAGCCCACTTGCAGTTTAATACTTGTATGCAATAAAATGCTTACTCAGACGGGTTTTTTTTTGTCTCACTCCCATTTCTTCTTTTTTCATTTCAAAGCTCTACTTAGAACCTTCTTATGATCTAACTGTTCAAAATGTGAATTCTTGACATTTTTCAACTGGTCTTAAAAAGTGTGATCTGTAGAGTTTGTTATTTACTGGTTTGGTTACACATAAATAGATACAATAAGTTAAATGAGTACAACAGTTTAATGAATTTATGTTTGTTGAACTGGGTTATGAAAGAATATCTTACTAGTAGGAAGCAAGAAGACACTAAGAAATGGATAACACAGGAGAAGCCAACCCTGATCGCTTGGACAGAGGTGACAATGGACATTTACAGAATGGAGGAGATTTCTGCTATCGTAAACCACAAACTGGATTTGTTTGACTTACACTGGAAAAAATGGGTTCAATATATGACATGTCAGAGGCCTAATGTAGGATTGTAAAGAATATAATATAATTTCACCCCCCCCCCCCGAGTGTTCTGTTAAGATCATTTTGTTTTTGCACTGATGTTAAAATGGATGTTGTGTATTTGGAACAATTACATTTAAGACATGTAAAAACACTATGAATTTTGTAAAATGTGTACCACAGTATCACAAATTCTGCAACATTTACAAACTTCAAAGCTTCTACCATCCGTGAGAACTCTTCTGTTCCTATTTGCTGGTGGGTTTTTTATTTTTATTTTTAAGTTTCAGTTTTACTCAGCTGCTGTTGTTTTACTGTAAAGCGTGTGCCTGTATGTGTACGAGTATTTTCAATCTTTAATTGTTCAACTGCTTTGTACAAAGCGCTGTATCATCAATAATAAATATATGCGATTTCATTTAAATGAGGCCTGAAAATCTTGCAGTATTTGTATTATTCACTCAGCTTGGATCATTTTAATGAGGACTTGTTAAAAGTGTGTGCTTGTGAGGCTCGGGTGTGTTTTACCGTAGACGTAGAAGACAGATGACCATCCTGAATACTGGACCAGGATTCCAGCTAGAGGCATGGCAATCACAGCCCCTGCATAAGAACCTGAAAAAAACAATATAATCTGGATTAAATTCAGATGTAGGATATTTAATTTCACCCTCAAATAAATCACCTAACTTTCCTGGCTTTCAAATGCCACAAAAATAGATTTTAAGAAGCTGCAAGAAATAAAATTTGACATGTATGGATGAAACATAAACACAACTCTTATGGAATTATCAAAACTGTTCACAAGTTGTTTTCTAATAAAGCACTTCCCTATCAAACATCTGAGCTCTAACTGTGGCCATATTAGGGAGCTTTTTTTTTTAAAGAGAACTAGAGGAACTTAGACCAAACTCACCACAGAATGCTGTTGTGGCCAGTCGACTTCTCTCGAGAGGAGGTGCCCATTTTGCCCAAATACCATGACAGGCTGGATATGAAACCCCCTACAGGACAGGGTTGGAATTGAACCCATTAAAAAACTGCACCGAGTGTTTTGTTTAGGGGTTTGTCAACAGAAACAGCTAAAGAGAAGAGTAGCGTACCTCTACAAGCCCTTGGAACACCCTGACGAGGATAACACAGCCGAAGTGGACCCGAGCTGCTGAGGGGATGAGCATGTTCAGGCAAGAAGTGGCCACTACAGCAAACCCAAAAACTCTGCAAAAAAAAAATAGGAAGTGGTAAAGGTTAGATGTTAGTTAACACCTGAAATTTTCACATTTCAAAAAGAAGATAAACTGACCTGTTTGCTGCAAACTTTTGGCAGATGAACCCTCCTGGGATTTGGGTGACGATGTATCCCCAGAAGAAGGAACCGTGGATCATTCCCACTGTTTCTGGGTTCCAGCTGAACTGTGCTTCCTGTCAGGACAAAAAATAAAAAAATTTAATAATAAAAATTAAAAAGAAGCTAAAAATATGTATTTTATTTTTTTATTTAACGTTTATTTCAAAAGGCAAAACATTAAGAACAGTTTCTTATCTACAATGTTTTTTTTAACTCCCTCTGAAAAGAACACAGGTTACGATTAATAAAGTATAACATACAGCTTTTAATGCTGGACTGAAAGTGAAAAAGGCAGCAAACCAGATAAATTAAATCAGGAAAGGTCCAACACTGACACCTAATGAAGAATCACTGGTATATGTTTTATTTTCTTTTATCAGGAAAGATTTAATGAGAGAAATAAACTGTTCTTTCAGGGAATCCAGATCAAGATGGCAGCATGAATACAAATTAAGAACAATTTATAAAAGCACTTCTCCATATCTTCTAACTGTGTGAGCTTCACTGTGTTTGCTCCTCACCTGTTCTTCATTTGTCATTAAAACATTCAGAACAAATTCTCAGAATTCACTGATCCGAAGCTAAATTACTGTTCTTGTTCATGAATGAGGGAAGAATGGAGTTAGAGGTGGATGCTGTACTGATTTGTCATGGTGAAGCGAGAGCTGAGCCAAAAGATGAAGTTCTCACTTTACCGTTGGGTCTAGATTCCTACCCTCATCTATGGTCATGAGTTTTGGGTAATGACCAAAAGAACGAGATTGCGGATACAAGCGGCCAAAATGAGTTTCCTCTGCAGGGTGTCTGGRCTCTCCCTTAGAGATAGGGTGAGAAGCTCTGTCAAYCGGGAGGGACTCAGAGTAGAGCCGCTGCTCCTCCACGTCGAGAGGAGCCAGTTGAGGTGGTTCATCTGGTTAGGATGTCTCCTGGACACCTCCCTGGTGAGGTGTTCCGGGCACGTCCCACTGTGTGGAGACCCAGAGGTAGGCCCAGGACACGCTGGAGGGACTATGTTTCTCAGCTGGCCTGGGAACACCTTGGGATTCCCCCGGATGAGCTGGCCCAAGTGTCTGGGGAGAGGGAGGTCTGGGTCTCTCTGCTTAGGCTGCTGCCCCCAAGACCTGACCCCAGATAAGCGGAAAATGGATGGATGTTTTTTCCGTGGTTCCTGTTTAACCTTAATTTAGGGTTCATTTTGTTTAATTAATTAGTTTAGCTTCTCCACAAGGAATTTTTTTAGCTTTGCTTTTATTCAGTTAATTGAAAAAGAAAATGACAGAACAAACTTTCATTTTTTATTCTCTGTTTGGTCTGTTCTGTATGTGAATTCTTCATCTTCATCACTGCCTGTGACAACATCCATCATGTGTTTGTTTGAGCTGCTAGTTTCCCTCTCCACTATCAAGAAATCAACATTAATAGTTTAGTTGTTGTGAAGTGACGTTCTGTGGAAAGTTCTTAAAGGGCAGTGCATTATGCAAAATTGATTTTTTTAAGTTTTATATCATTTTATGATGTCATTCCTAAAACATATCCAGAGCGCTTCTTTGACTCACTCATGCATGTGTGAGAAATCCTGCAGTCTCCTGTGTTAGCCATGTGGAGCTGCCTAATCGTTGGCTGGTACAAAGCACCGCCTATTTAGACAAAGCTCCTCCCTGGAGCTCAGTCCCCAGCTGAGACTCTTTTTTAACAAAAAATACAATGTTCCCATACAAGAACAAGATTTGTGGTCTGCATTTCACCCATCACATGTGAAAATCGGGCCGGGGAGCAGTTGGGGGTTGGGTGTAATACCCCCTTTAAAGTATTAATCTTCCTTGTTGTAGATTTCTTGTTGAATGACCTTGATTTGGAGAAAAGGAGTTAAATTTAGACTGTATTGATAATTTTGTTTTAAGAGGCTTGTATTGTAGCTCCTCTTTTGGCCTTTTGTTTTTTTTCTTTTGCTGCCTTAATATTGTTTCCACTCACCACTAAGACCTTCTTGTTGTCTCTGATGATAGTGTGGCTGTTGACCATGCTGACGATGGCCACGCCCAGGTTACATCTGATACCAAAGGAGATGCAGAACCCAATGCCAGAGAGGATGGCGATGATGTAGCGCCTGGGCAGGCCGAAGCATGTGCAGTCCACCACGGGCATCTCCTTCTCCTGCACCAGCTCTGGCCGGCCCTCCGCCGACAGCTCGATGGTTTCTCCATTTTCCTGCTTTTTCTCAATCGCTCTGCAACGAAGCAAAGGGAGAGTTTTTGGAACAACTGAGTGAATTTAAAACAGTTTTTAACACCCATGTATGTTTCCGAGTGAGGCTCATGGATTTAGACATCAGACTGTCTTCCATCAACACAGGCATCTGCTAGCCTCCGTTTATAAGGGCTTGCAGGGAGAAGCTTTGACTTTGACAGTCATTTATTAAACATAATGTGTGCAGTGCAGAGCTCTAAGATCAGACTGGAACAGTGTGGGTCCACATTATGTAGAACAGAGTTACCAGGCAAACTGAGTCTATTCACCAAAGAAATCCAGCTCAGAGCTTTTAAACTACACTCTTATACCAGACAGCTGTTTGTATTATCGTCTGAACATGAGCAATCTGATGCAATACAAAATAAATAAACAGTAAAATAAAATTGGGATTTAAAAGCTAGGACAATTTCTATACAGGTCAATAAATTGTACTTTTGTTCTTTTATCCCAAGGCCCCAACCCTTTATTGCTACAGCTAACACATTTCACATAACACATAACACATTTCCACAGTCGTGAGAAGTAGGGGTGCTGGGTGTGCATGGAGGATGCAAGAAGACACACATGTTCAAATAGGCAGTTCAAGAATTAATGAACAAACTAATTTTGTTAGTGCAGTTTATGTTTAAATTTTGAGATTACTGAGTTTTATAAATCTGATACACATTTATTGCATGTTTACAGTTAATGTTTGTTCATAAAAAAGTGTTTTTATTGTCTATATTCATATAAGACAACATGCACTTTCAGTGTGCATTTTACTTCATGTATTTAGTGTGAAGATATTCTTCCTCTGGGAGCTAACGCTACAAATTCACACGTTTACAGCAACACATACCTGAAACCCATTCCCACAGCTTTAGGGACTAAGGCAGCTATACTGCCTAAAATCCTTACGTGAACCCTATGTACATATTGCTTACAATTTGATGTTTAAATTGCATAAGACCACCCAGATAAAATAAAAGATTAAAATTGCTGCAAGTGGTTCAGATGCATCTGGTCTTCATATGTTAATGTTTAACGGTTTCTCTTGTGTTTTAAGTAGAAGACAAGTTAAATATACTGCTCAAAAAAATAAAGGGAACACTCAAACAACGCACGCTAAGTCCAAGTAAATCAAACTTTTGTGAAGCACATTCAACTCTGTACAGAACAAAGTACTCAATGCGAATATTTCATTGATTAAGATCGGGAGTTAGCGTGCGTTGTTTAAGTGTTCCCTTTATTTTTTTGAGCAGTGTAGATCGTTCACTCCACTTTTGAAAGGAAACAGCTATAAATATGAAGTCAGATACACTCAAAAATTGGATTGTTGGATTTCCTTAATCACGTTATATCAACAATTTCCACTCAAGTGTAAAGCAACTTATACTTTTTCTTTAAAAATAAACGTAAAAGTTGCTTTACGCTTAATCAGCTCAGTTGAGTGGAAATTACTGATATATCTTGGTTAAGAAAATCCAATTAGGTTTTTTTAATGAGTTAATGAGAATTTGGATGTTTGCACTCTGATGGGATTTAGGAGAAATCCAAAAGTCATATAGCAGAGAGAGACACACACACGGTGAAAGAGGACAAAAATGTCTGTTTTCATGTTTACATTGTTTAAGATGTGTAAATACTGCAAAGATAATAGGAGCACAAATTCAAACTCTTTAGTTTACAAAAGTTCTGTTAGACAGCTCAAAGACTGGTGTGGTAAAAGTCTCTGATGCAAATCAAAAATTGTGAAAGAAACAAATAGTAAGAAACTGAGGTTTCTCAATGCTTCTGCACGAACTCACCTTTGATGATCTAAGGAAGGAAATTGTTTTGTTGGTCTCTATCATCACCAAAATCTTTTTCTTTAAGCACTTCTACAGCGAGGTTTTGGCTTTCTTGTTCTTCCTCCTGTGCATCCACATAAATGAGCCTGACTGAAACATCTTAAGTTACACAATGATGTGTTCCTGTCAACAATCTGCATGGGGCTTTCATCCAAACCTTCAACAGTAAGCCGAGTGGAAAATTWAAAAAAAAAAAGCTCCATAAATATAAAGCGTGCTCTCTCTCTGAGTGTGCTTACAGTGGCTCCAGCAGTGATCAAGTATTGATGATCCTGTAGGTTAAATTATTAATAGGCTTTCTCTGACTCTCAGTCTATTTTGGTCTGGGCGGGTCGCTCTTCCTTTTCTGTCTCCTCCTCATCTTCASYCTGCCTCTTACCAGCAGCTCCCCTSACTCCCCCATCAATTCGCACAACATTCGCAACATTTGTTTCTTCTCCAACACCAATTTATCTCCTGGTTTCTAGAGAACGTGTGCGTTTTCTTCTTATTTTTGATCATTTGCCTGCAAATATGCTGCTGTGGTAAACCTTTAACCTTATATTTTTTATTACAGGTTACAGAAAAGGTCTAAATAAAGATATTTTAGAGCATTTTAAGGAAACAAGAAACAGGCACCACTTTGTTGAGTCRTGATATTTGAGAATCTCCTGCTCAGAAGAGCTGTTTTGTTTTTCAAGGTTAATCTCTTTAATTTATAGTCAAAGACAAACGATCTGAGAAAGTCAGAGTTGGTTTAGCAGCTTGGAATAATTAATTAGATAAGAAAAACAAATAACTTGTGGAAATTGTTTGAATCAAAATGGTACGTGACAGGGGGATCACAAGAACACAAATACACCATGGAAATTAAATCTTCTATTTTCTTAAACGTGTTGACGTAAAGTAAATAATAACAATACATTAAAGCTACAATTATTGGAAACTTTTGATAGATTTTACGAAATGTGTCTCCAAAAAAAAGGAGCTTAAAGTCAATTAATAACACCACCACATATCCAAACAAAAAGGCAAAAATCGCTGTGAATCCGACAGATACAGCGGGTAAAATAAGTATTGAACACGTCACCATTTTTCTCAGTAAATATATTACTAGAGGTGCTAATGACATGAAATTTTCACCAGATGTCGGTAACAACCCAAGTGATCCATACATACAAAGAAATCAAACCATAAATGTCCAGAAATGAAGTTATTTGTAATAATGTGGAATGGCACAGGGAAAAAGTATTGAACACATGAAGAAAGGGAGGTGTAAAAAGGCATGGAAAGCCAAGACACCAGCTGAACTCTCTCAGTAATTAGAAAGCAAGCCTGCCCCTTGTCAGTGCAAGTTAATATCAGCTGGTTSAGTCCCAAATGATGGCCAGGTATCACACAAGAACCATCTGATGATGGGTAAAAGTAAAGAGCTCTCTCAAGACCTTCACAACCTTATTGTTGCAAAGCATAATGATGGCATCGGTTACAGAAGAATGTCTAAACTTCTGAAKGTTCCAGTGAGCACTGTTGGGGCCATAATTCAGAAGTGGAAAGAACATCATTTCACCATAAACCGACCACGACCAGGTGCTCCTCACAAGATTTCTGACAGAGGAGTGAAAAGAATTATCAGAAGAGTTGTCCAAGAGCCAAGGACCACTTGTGGAGAGCTTCAGAAAGACCTGGAATTAGCAGGTACGATTGTTTCAAAGAAAACAATAAGTAATGCACTGAACCACCATGGCCTGTATGCACGCTCACCACGCAAGACTCCACTGCTGAAGAAACAGCATGTTGAAGCTCCTTTAAAGTTTGCTGCACAACATTTAAACAAGCCTGTGTAATACTGGGAGAATATAGTCTGGTCAGATGAGACCAACATTGAACTGTTTGGATGCCAGAATACACATCATGTTTGGAGGTCAAATGGCACTGCACATCAGCCCAAAAACACCATACCAACAGTGAAGTTTGGAGGTGGGAACATCATGGTGTGGGGCTGTTTTTCAGCATATGGTACTGGCAAACTTCAAATAAHAGAAGGAAGGATGAGTGGAAAAATGTACAGAGACATTCTTGATAAAAATCTGCTTCCATCTACCAGGATGATGAAGATGAAACGTGGCTGGACATTTCAGCAAGACAATGAGCCCAAACACAAAGCCAAGGAAACTCTCAGTTGGTTTCAGAGAAAGAAACTAAAGCTGCTGGAATGGCCCAGCCAATCACCTGACCTGAATCCAACAGAAAATCTATGGAAAGAACTAAAGATCAGAGTTCATAGAAGAGGTCCACGAAACCTTCAAGATTTGAAGACTGTTTGTGTGGAAGAATGGGCCAAAATCACACCTGAGCAATGCATGCCACTAGTTTCTCCATACAGGAGGAGTCTTGAAGCTGTCATTGACAACAAAGGCTTTTGTACAAAGTATTAGATAAATTTCAGTAAGTGTGTTCAATACTTTTTCCCTGTGCCATTCCATATTATTACAAATAACTTCATTTCTGGACATTTATGGTTTGATTTCTTTGTATGTATGGATCACTTGGGTTGTTACCGACATCTGGTGAAAATTTCATGTCATTAGCACCTCTAGTAATATATTTACTGAGAAAAATGGTGACGTGTTCAATACTTATTTTACCCGCTGTATTGTGCTAAATTCTGGTGTGGTAGTAGCTGAAGGTCATTTCTAACAGACCAGCAAAACCAGGTGAGACTTCACACCTTTTCAGGAGATCAGAACATTATTTTGAAGCATCGCCGTCATTTCTCAACATAAGCATCATGATGTGTTTTTTTTGTTTGTTTTATTGTGTGTATTAATGTATTGTGGTTCCTGGGTTTAGTCTTTTTTATGTTTTCATTTTCCCTGTGTGCCATTATTTCATCTGCCCTCAGTAAGTTGACTTTTAGACCAAAACTCTGGCAATAAAGGGGTGATAAGGAACGATATAACTCCAAGGAATAACAGATTGAAAGAGTGTTGCTCGCAGAGGACAGGAAGTGGTCGGTGAAACTTTACACACAGAAGCAGAGGGAACACCTCATTGGCACGTGCACTCAACAGAAAACCACAGCTTACAGCTTTCTGCCATGGGGCCGAGTGGACTAATCCAGGTGCCCTATACGGTGGAAGAGGAAAGGGGGAAGGAACGTGGTGACGAATTACCGGGCTACTTATGGTGTGTGTGAGAGAGAGGGTGGGGTGGCCCAGGTGAACATCCTGCAGGGATTTACGCAGGCCGACAGCTTGAAGAAGAGAGAGGCTATTTGTGGAGAGGATTTAAGTGTTCAGACCGTGCATCAAATCCCAGCAGAGAAGAAGGGTCCATCAATACATCCTCCTTCTCAGATCACTTCCTCACTGATCAGACTGACTGCACAGCAAGGAAACCTTAACAATTTTTGAGCCATTTTGCCACTTCCATCTGTATCTTCCTTTGTTTTTCCACAATTATTCATGTAGCTGGAAAAAGAACAAGAAAACTTTAAAATGATAACATTTGACTAAAATAAGTCTCTTCCTATAAGCAGTAATACCAGGTGTGACCTGATTTACTCTCAATTTGTTTTAAAGCGACTTTAGAGAAAAACATTTTGTTCTTTGTTTGTTCTAAGGTTAAATCTGGAACACAATGCTGTTTTCAGAGACAACCCCCCCAAAACACTGAACCGACACAAGAGCTTTGTAGCTCATAAATATAAAAGAACAGCGGAAAACTGATCCAAAATATTGATCCAGGCTTCATCTTACACTGATCGGACACTTCGTCCTAAAAATCTGGTTTCGTTTGGTCCTTTTGTGTCCAGGAAGCAACTCAGGATAATTTCACATCTACTAAAGACTTGAGCTTTATTGTTTTTTTTTAAATGCTAATATTTCTTACAATCCAACCCATGAAGTTAGTTATTTATTGTTTGGGTTTTACAGATCCAGATGTGGCAGATTACCCTGAGAACATGATCTTCTCACAGATAAAGAAACAAATTCACCTTCACTTCATGCAACAGAACATTGAGATTACATACCCGTAGATTTTCCCGAGAGTCTTGGCTGCCACGGCCTTGAACCTGTCCGGCCGGATCTCCATCCTCACGATTCCAGAACCGGACCAATGTGGACTCCTTGCGCGCCCCCTGTCCGAGCGCACAGCCTTCTCCTCTGCTTTCTCCTTATTTTTTACTCATAAAAAAAGCGCATTCAGCTGGTTCCAGGAATTCCAGTGCCTTTCAACTACCTGTGATAAACCGAAACAACATTTTCAGTCCCACTTTGCCCGAATCCTGATTGGTTCTGATGGACTTCCTGCGCTGCGTAAAAACAAGGGGTTCAGGAAGAGAAAAGGCGCTGTGGGTAAAGTTTGGGCCGACCGGTGCCGCTAGTGTCTCTGGCCTTGGTCCTGAAAAGAGATTACATCTGCCGGCGCGCTAATCTGCCCCCGGTGTGTGGAGTGGAAGCGTGTCACTTCCTTTCCACGCAGTCCAGCACGCGCTGTTTTAAGCGCTGCGGGCTATTCTGGGAGCCTTGAATGGAGAGAGTCCGGGTAAAGCTTTCCGACGCGTCTTAACACAACTCCCGCTAAACTGATGATTCTTTCCTGGTTTTATGTGCGAGGATAATGACGTCCTGGAAAACCCCCATTGCATTTCTTACATTAATGCGTGTCGCCCGCCACCTTTTATAGTTTGATTTCCTTTTGAGAAGTACTGGAGTTGGTCAGACTGCGCAATCTGTTTGGAATGACTCCCAGCTATGAAATCTAAGCTCAGTTTCTACAAAGCTGACTGAGTTCGAGCCTTTGTGTGTGTGTGTGTGTGTGTGTGTGTGTGTGTGTGTGTGTGTGT